CACTGCCTGGAGAACAGGAAAGGGGTGCGTGAGTAAAGTTCAGAAAAGAAAGACATAGTCTCTGTGACGTCACCCATCACTGAGGGCCCTTTAAAAGCCTTGAGTTTTGAATGTCGCCATGGCTATCTTCATCTTTGGAAACCGGATGTATTAAGTGAGGACCGGATCTTTAAACTCAAGGACACTATTTATAGCTCTTCTCTATTTTACTCTAAATGGGAGCATAAATTTACAAAATGAACATCATGTTGTATCAGAGGAGACTTCAAAGTAGTGACTGAGACCATAAGATTATTAGGAAAATGCTCACTGAGGTAACAGATTAAGTGAGAAGTTGGGTTAACTTTCCATAGACCTCTATCTATTGAGTCTTGTTTTTGCAACCAGAGGAGTCGTCCCCTGCTGGTCGGACCCAGAGGCTGCATTCATCTTTTACATCCAGTCAGTGGTAAAGATGTGAAGATGTGGTGTAGATGCGTGTCCTGCTGCACTCACTCCACTGTGAACTCGTGGGCTCCCACAGGGATGCAGTACACAAACTGCATGGCGCTCCAGAGGCGGTGGAACTCCACACACTCGTCCACGTGCATCACGCCGTTGCTGGGTAACGGTCCACGCCAGATGGGGTCTTCCAAGAAGCCTCGCACGCGTGTGAGGATGACCTCAAACATGGACAGACCGCAGCACAGCCTCTCTTTGGTTAGAAGGTCGCCCTCGCGAGCAATGGCTATTTGCTGAGAGAGAAAAGGAGAAAAGATCAGCACAGCACACATCTTTCATTTGGAGCGTTATTCACCTGCTGACGCTGTAATTAACACAATAAAGACAGCTTCCCATCGAGGCTTTTCAAGCAGACCCTACCTGTGGGGTGCCCAGGCGCTCTATCAGTGGAACCATATGCAGTGCTGTGTATTTGGCTTCCAAGCGCTTCATCTTGGCATCCAGGCGTTCCCCCTCTGTAGAGCAAGGAAAAGACAAGTGTTTTTCTTTTTTTTTTTTTCGATCAACGAATCCCATTAAAAAAAAACACAAACACTTGATCCTACTCATAATGTAGCCAAAACCTAAACCGACATATCCCTCTGTGGAGCTCCACCACAAACTATTAAAACACATTGTTGGTCCACACTGTTGCACTGATTGACATGTTCCAGACCAACGGTTGTATTTTTTGACTCTATCCTACATACAGCGCTCCCTGCTGGGGTGTTGGTGAGGGCTGGATCTGACTGAGAACTCGAGGACAGGACACAATGCAGATACGGCAGCTACCTGCCCCACCCTAAAACTACAATCTATTTGACTTTTAATGCTGCCATGATTTCCAAAATAAACAGCAAAACCTGTATTTACCTTTGACATGGACTCTGGGAAGAATGTTTTGGAAAGGTGCAGCATGCAGCAAATCACAAACTTCTTCCTGCGACTGGAAGGAAAATATGGTAACATGTTAAAACAACTGGTGAGCACATAGAAATGCATAAAAACACATTTATATTTGATCCTGAATTTGTCCCGTTTTCCTGCGTAGATGAAGATTCGTACCAGACTCTGCTCACTCAGCAGACAGAACAGCATGGCGTTGCCGACTTCCCTCAGGTTCTGGAAACACACCGTCTTCAGCTCAGCGTACTCAACGATGTCCTTCAGCTGATGGTGGAAGAATTCCAGGATACCTGAAAATAAATACTGCCAAGTTATTTCACAGCCTCCACCTCCGCCTTAACATCAGTAAAATCAAATGCATCATCGTTGACTGGAGGAATGTTGCATCCAACCCCCCCACGATGAGCTGTACAGATGGCTCGCCTGTGGAATACGTCAATTCCTTTAAAAATCTAGGCTTCTGGCTGGAGTCATCTCTGTCTTTCGCCATACACATTAACAGTCTTCAGACTAAACTCAAAACCAGACTATCCTTCCTCTTGGCCAGGTCATGTTTGCAAATGAGAACTGGTTCTCAAACATTTCTACCTGGCAAAATAAAGGTCAAATAATAATAAAAATATATATATATATTATTTCAGCTCACATGTTAATACATATCTGCCACTAGAGGTGTCACAATATACCAGGTATCCACAATAACTGTGTTATTTAAAAATGAAATACTTGTATAATGTTAATAATGCACATATGATAACATTGTAAATAACTGAGAGCCAGTAACTATGTCCAACACACAGCTAAGATTATGGGCTCTAACTTCAACTTCCTTCCTACACTTCTGCCTTGAGTGTAATTAATTTCTCAAAGAAACAGACAAAACACACAATAAACAAAGTCAAATATGCATTGGATTGATAGCATTATTTGTTTTCCCTCCAATTTTCAATAGGTATTGCAATAATAATGTCAGCGTGAATGCTTCCAGACACACAGTAAGTAAACATCTGACATAATTTCAGCACATTTCTATGACACATCATCTTATATCTCAATGACACCTTCCTGGTTAAATAAAGAAATAAAAATAAGAAAATGCTCCTTTTCTGAAATCTGAAGCAAAAAGGTCTCTAAAATGAAAGTACTGCTACATTCCCTCTTAACTCTGTTCCCCTGCATATCATCAATGTTGTATTTAATATGATGCCAAGCAGGTGTTTTAACAAAAAGTTCATTTCAATAACAATGTGATTCGTTTGAAAGTTTCATTTAAAACTTTATAATTGCTCATTTTCAGCAGTTTCACAGCTTGATTCTTTTAGCTCAAGTGCTGATTTCTGACTCACAGCATCCAGGGACAATTACTGTGGTGAAGGGCTTTAAAATGAATGGAATTTTAATCACAAATTTGGCTCCACAATTAAATGAACAGAAGCCACTGAAATACCGACATGTACAATGCAAGCTCCACTTATAGAAAACTCTGTACAGAGAAAAACTCTGCTAATATTAAAAAGTGAAGAAAATTACTTGGTTTCAAACTGGGTAAATATGATGTTGGGACACATTATTACACTCCTTTAATTATGCTTTTTGGTCAGACACCTGTCTGAGCTGCTGAGCTGTGCAAGCTTAGTGAGGAGACTAGAGGATTCTCGGTGCACAGTTGCCTCGCTATCATTAATTGAAGTGTCTTGCAAGAAATGAATCTTCTGCAAGTGAGACACTTCTGGTAAAATTTTGTTCATATTTTGCCTCAAGGAGACGCACTAAATTCAGGTGAAGAATATTTTAAGTCTTATTTTGATGCAAAGATTTGTACGGTAGCAGGAATGTAGCACGACACAAATTGAAAACAGAGTTCAATTTCTTTTAATTTAAAACTGCACCCATTTGTGTACCACTGAATGAAGAATTAAAGAAAAAAATCCTGGAGGGGAAAAACAAAAAAACAAAAATAAAGCAGACAGGCTACATTCCACCTACCTGGGGAGCCATACTCATGACGTGGCAGTCTGCAGATCTTGGGCATCACCTCCATCAGGGTCTTCACATACTGCATGATGGTACCTTGAAGCTACGCAAGAAAAGTAGAGCTTTAATCATTTCCCTAAAAGGCCGTGATGACAAGCAAACTGAATGAACAATAATTCCCTCCTTTTACCATTTATCTGATATCAGACAACTTTACTCTTATACATAACTAACAAAGAATTCAGCCTCCTCACAGTGACGTCCTCCATCTGTAACAGCGGCACTGAAATCGTGCCTCCCACACACCATTGTGGCTTCCTCTCGCACTCACCAAGCTTTTGACGACCTTCAGCAGCTCCTCCATCACCACAGCGATGCCCTGGTAGCCCAGCAGCCTGCACATGACCTTGATGTGTGGGGGTCCCACAAAGTTTCGGTAGGAGCCAAATATGCTGCTGTATGCCAGGTTCAAGGTCTGCATGCACAGAAAGACAGGTGACAGTAAGAAATGGTTTGAACGACTATTGTTTGAAGCATCAGAAAGCAAGGACAATGGTAGATAAATGTTTTTTTGGTAGTAAAGTCACTGCTTGCTGGTAGCCTTGCCATTTTTAACAAATGGGTGCTGAAGGGTAAGTTTGACTCATGTGGGTGTATTCGTGGCTGCTGCAGAGCTGAGTCACTTTGTCACACTGGTAACACTTTGAACATCCAAAGGCACATTAACAGTTTATGGCAGGGAAATTTTAAAAAATATATCCTTAACACAACTGGGTTGCTTTAAGTCCATATTGATATTAATTTTTCAAGGCTGGATTTTCTTTTATTTACAATTAAAGCCTCTCTGTATTTGGATTAGAGTTGTTATGTATGAACGACGGGCTGTCCAAGGTTTAATTCTTTAGATGCAGCATATCACTCCTTAACAGCCAATAGTTATGGGACACATAGTTGTCTATTGTATCCAGGAAATGGCTTGCCTGTTCTGCAAGTGAGGAGGCATCAGGCATTTGTTTTTATTTATTCATAAAGCTATTTTATGAAGCCTTTCTGTAGAGAGTTAGAGGATCAGCTCTTTGCTACTGTGCCCCACATAGTTGAAATATGCTTCAACAAAATCTTAAGTCGACCTCTTTAACTCCACTGAAGCAATGCTAAGGTTTAAGTGCTGCTCTTATTAACTGCACCTCTCACTGCTTTTAATTTTTTATTACGTTTATTTACATAGCACTTTTGAAATAGTTAATATTGTTTGATTATAAATAAATAAATGAAAGGCACTTCAAGCCAAACATTTGTTACTGCACTCTATGGACTTGGAATCATTTCCACAGACGAGGCCATGAAACGGCTGTAGTGTAAACTGTATATAGAATAAGACGGATGTAGTGGATGTGGAAGGGGGCGATGGACCACCCACTGCCATTTTGAAACCTTGAGTTTGGAATTTAAAACCAAAGGTGACAAGTGAACAGTGAATTTGACTGACAACTCGAGGATGACATTAACGGCCTTATAGAAGAAACTTATTAATCACAAGTAGCCCTGTCCCAAAACACGCCCTCCTTTATCGTCTATTTTACTCTGAATGGACTGAATAGTATTTAAGGAGACTTTAAACTAACCACTGGGACTAGGCATATCTGTTCCAAACATTTACTTAACTGATCGGTATCGACCAAAACCTAGATCTGATCCATTGTTTGTTCCCTAATAATGCATTATTATAAATCAATAATCGATTTATTGATAACACAAATTCAGCACAGGGGACAGTAGCCCTGTGCTGGTATTGCTGTTGGTTAACAGACAAGTAACACTGACTGCAAAGGCGGATCTGTTACATGTGCTGCTGGAATAAAGAAGTGCTGTCCTAGTCGAGCCCAGCTTATGTCAAAAACAGCAGCTCTGGACAAAGGTTGCCAAGCAATACAGAAGATGTTGTCATGGTGGTACCTTTTCTAGTTAAACCTCCACAACGCTCTCTGCTTCCCAACCCGGAGCTGCCTGTGGTCTGAGTGACCTCAGGCTGCTAAAGTAACGTGGCACAACAGCAAATCTACAATGCTTGAAGTGTGTATTGTCTGATTAAATGGTATTGGATCAGCAGATACTGAATATTAAATGACTTGGATCCAATTGTCCATTTTATAAATATAATGGAATTTATTTGCAGGTACAGCACAGCTATCAGCTACATTGTAATTTTAGCGTGAAATTGGTTTAACATGATAGCATGCTAACATTTACTAATTACTAAAGCCAAGAGACAGCTAAGGTTGATGAGAATGACTGTACTTTTGCAGGAACATGTTCATCAACCAAAGTTTTCTGCAGAGGAAAACGTTTTCACGTCATGGAGTCAGCAGATCACTAAAGTTTGGAGGATTCATGGTCTGGGACCCATGAATGTTTCTGTGAAAGCCATGGCTATCCAATTTTCATGTATAATTCAACAGCAATGAAAAAGACAATTAATTACTTATCCAAAAGCTGTAGCCATCTTAGTTCTGATGGATAAAAACTGGTTGTTCTGTTTAGAGGCATGAATGCGCTTTGGGAATTTGAAAGTGTTTGGTAAATCATGAGACATCTTGTGTGGAGATTTTAGCCCGAGGGCGACACAAGAGGAAAGCTGTGGTGTTAAAGATGCCAAGGATGTGTGTCGCAGCAATGTGCCCTTTAGATATTAACATTTTTTTGCCAAAGTAGACACATGATAAAAACAAGAGTGCCAGTGCACCATTTGGATCATCCTTTGGGGACCATGGAAAGCTACAGTAAATTTCATGACAATCTGGCTGGCAGTTGTTAAGAGACTTTTCTGGGGAACAAACTGTGGGCAGATGGATCAACCAACTGAACCACATTTCAGCTCGTCCCCAGATGCCACCAGTAGATATTAAAGATACGGTGGCATGGACCAGAGCGCTGGTCAAGAGGAAATTAACGATCAGCATCACTGTGAGGTCCTTAGATCAATTAGCAGGGCAACAACTTTGAACGAAAAAACAACATTAAAGCAACATAATTTACAATAATTTAAATACAATGTGCATATAATGACCCGCTTAGAGAGTCGCTCCCTCTCTCCCCTGCTATAGAGAGATGAAGCTGCTGCTGTTGCTCTAATCCAACAGCACTCCCTCTAGTGTGGCCACAGTGGAGATAAGGACACACTGATCTCTGCTTCAGTCCTGAGGTTGCAAACCTACACAGCAGCATCAGAGCTCGGACGGTGGAATAGATGTTAATATGACTAAATAGCAGCAGTACAGGATCATCTGGACACCTCAGGCTCTGCAGATTGTGTGTTCAACACGTGCTGGCACAGTTTTCCTGGTAAGTCTTCCTGCTATTTATTTATTGCTTTTAAAAAATGACCACTAATTACTTTCTTAACATACTGATAATATTTTATATACAATTAAAAAAATTAAAAAATACATATGAAATGATGCATTTACTAAAGTATTTCCAGTGTACCATTAAACTGTACCAGTAATAAAACACATCTAGAACTGATTTCAAACCTACAATTTTTGTGAGACCAGCTGTGTAGCTTAGGTATTTTTGTAGGATGGCTTTTTTGGGGGAAAATATGCAGTATAGAGCAAAAATAACACACAACTTAACCACGCACTTTGAATGTGGCTACTTCTCAAGGAGCACCACACCCTCCCTGTGTTAGTCTCAACCAGAAGTAAACATTATTTCATGCCGTTTTGAACCATGCAAGCAGAAGATAAAATGTGATTTTCTCAGAAGCTTGCTTTTAAAACCCTAAAATCTCCTCCACAATCAAATAGGTCGACATCTGTTTGGAGTAAAGAGCATGTCATTATTTGGCATTCTATAAGAGAAAACTGCAACTTTCAATATTTACTATAAATAATCAGAGCTAAAGCCAGTGGGCATTCTACTAAATCCTGCCCAGTGGGTCTTAACAGCTCAAGGTTGACAGATCATCACCTCTCTCTTGTAACAGGTGACCTGCAGCACAGATGAGCCTCTTCAGAAATCATTCTGCATTATGTAATTTGCTGAACATCTGCACAGAACCCTCACTTCCCTCCCACCACCGCTCTTTGTCCCTGATAATCCTTCATACAATGCTTATTATCCTCTGATACTGTTGTTTTCTTTTTATGCTTTGTATATGAGTGGGGAAGGCCCGGTGGCCGCGGTATTTTTCGGTTATTGTGTTTAACATTTTGTTTCAGATTTTAAAATCAGAATGTAATTACATGTTTTATTGAAATTGTAATTTGGCCCCAGGTGAGTTAGTATTCAGATTTATTTTTTATGCATCCAAAAAGCAGAAAGGTGCTCCAAAATGCAGAGAGTCAAAAGAGGCTGTACTCATGCCCAAAAAGCAGCACAAGGCCGACCCTGATATTTTCATGCTGCTTTAATGACTCCTCGTTAGTGATGGAGGCTCCACACAGTCTTCAGGTGTTCAAACATTAAAGTTGCAACTATTCTTTTATGTCATGTTTGATAATGTCTGAAGTGGAAAACAATGAAAGAAACCGCTAAATTAATCATGTGGGGTAAATGCTCACTTCTTGTTAAAATTTTTTTTTTTTTTTAAAGTGTTTCCATCTCTTATGAAGCACATTAATGGTTTAAACTCAAATTCAAAAATGGGTGTCAATGTTTGTTGAAATGCTGCCATTTCCAATAACTTTCATAATGTGACACTTCAAAATGTGTGTATGGAAACTACCGTGCTGTCAGAAGTTAGTTCTGCCAGTTGCCATGTTTCCATAATGTTCCATAAAGTTGTTGTGCATATTTTGCAGCATTGAATTGGAAAAAGTTACAAAAAAAAAATTAAAATTTCCCCAATTGTCACAAAATAGTTTTCACGCTTACTTGAGTTGGTTGTTGACTTTTTCAAATAAGAGTTGATGACATAGCTAACGACATAGCAAACATTTAACTCACATGAGTGATCAGCTCATTCTGCTTCTTACAGTATCTCTAGACAGCATGAAACATTACAAATACCATCTGACATGAAAAAACTATTTCCAGATTTTAAAAATACAATTCCTGATTACTTCTCACCATTTTTCTCTAATAGACAGCCAAAGTTTTGTTTGTTTCTTCATCAGTGGTTAGCAAACCCTTTTGTTTATGGCTTCTTCTTCTCTGTTTTCCTACACCACTGCCTTCTGATGCCACCACGCAGCCTAATTTACTTGCTCCAAAGCAGTTGATGCAAACAAGCCTAATTTGTATTTTCTTCAAACGTTTGTTTCCCATTCGCTTGCTGATTATATGGAAACGCAGCTAGTGTCTCACTCTGTTTACATCATTTCTGTCTTCCACCTCAGTTCTACACTGTAACAACAGAGGAAGTGCTTCGCTCGTACCAACTCGGCTCCTCGTCATGTCTATTGTAGTCTACAACATCTCCTCCACCTCAGCCAGGGTGAGCTGGCCGGCATCCCCCAGCTGCCTGGACACTTTCTACAGCGTCATGTACGACCCCAACTGGAACAGCCTCTTCTTGGGCTACAAGCGCAAAAGTTTCACGTATGAGGAGCGCATCCCGGTCAGCCAGACCACCACACACATCGCCAACCTTGTCCCCCAGACCGCCTACTTCTTGTGTGTGACGTGTCAGGCCGCCAATCCGGTGCGAGACCAGTGCCAGGTGTTCAGCACTCTGAGCGAGAACAGCGAAGGTCACGACAGGGCCGGATGGGAGCTCGCCATGGGCGTCTGGCTGACCTGCTGCGTCTTGCTCCTGGTCATCGCGGGCATCCTGCTGTGGGGATGTCTTCACACCGCCTGCTCCATCCCCGGCCGCACTGCGGACAGCTGCCAGGTGGTGACCAACTCGACCCGCCCGGACATGTCCACATCTGGACCCCTCTACACTCCCAGAAGAGGCAGCGAGGATAGCACCAAACATGCCTCCAGCATACAACCTTCCCTCCTCTCAGCGCAGCCCACTGGCCATATAATTACCCAAGACCATGAGCTGAGGACGCTGCCTAAGCTGTCTGGCAGCGAGCCAGCATGAATCAACTGGATTAAGGTCATCACAGTATTGTTCTGCGCAGACTGAATTGTCACAGAGTATTTTTATCCACTGATGAAATCCTATTTGTGTTTAGGAGAATACATGTTTTCACAGGATCCATTTAAGACAAACTATTAGTGCACCACTTTAAAGTTGTCAATGACAAACATTCAGCCAGGGAAACAACTGAAAAAGAAAAACAATTTAACCTTTCTATTTAATTTGTTCCTCTGAATATCAGTCTTTTCTTGTAGAAGCTCATGAAGGACTTTTTGATCTTTGTGTTCCTGTGGTATACTTCTCAATGTTTGCACACAAACATTTACATTTGTCTTATTAATTTTGCACATAATTTAAGACATTTCACACACTGTCTCCCATAATGATGTTTTTCCACTTTTATTCTATAGATATATCTTAGTAATATGTAGTAAATGTTTGGCTTTAACACAGAAATACTAAAAAAAAAAAAACAAACATCCACTCATGAAATCCAAGAAAATAAAGTGACTACTTCATATGCCTTCTGTGGAAGTGATGATAAAAGACAAAATGTACTGACCTTTGACCCGTACAGATACTGAGGCTGAGCGTTGGGTGGCTTATCCCTCTGGAACTCCTGAGAGAAGGGCAGGACGGTGCGCACAAACCTGCACACACAGATAGAGATGATTATCTCTGCAACATCAGGATATAATGCACACAATGCAAACACCCACACTCTTCAATGGGTTCCTTTACCCATAGAACATAAGAGCAGTATTGTGTGGCAGCTTTACCTTGTAAGGTTTATACAAATAAAATATAAATAGACCAAACATTGAACACTGAGCTTATACAAAAGCTGAACAAGTTCAAAACCTGTTTTGTTAGTGCTGCTGGTGAATCCTTTGCATCCACAGATTAAAGCCTTTTCCTCATGTGGTTTCTTTAAAGCAGCACATAACCAAACAGACAATAGAGTACGTCTAATAGAGTGATTTATTAGTGCTCATTTACTGCAGCTTAACCCCAGCTCAGAACTTTGCTGCAGGGTTTCACACATTTTATTATTATCAGAGCCAAAACAAGCAAAGCCTCATGTCATTCACAGCAGCTATCGCATACAGAGGGATTTCTGTATACCATTATTATATTAGTATTAACCTGGCTCATACTTATGCTCAAATTAACCTGCACTGGGGCCCTTTGGCAAAAAAAATGTTGTTAGCCGCAACACCTAGAAACTCACAAGTGCCGTAGAGATTCAATGTTTGGTTGAATAATAGATAAGCTGAACAAAAGAAAATGAAAAATCTATTCATCACTGTCCTTCTTTTTAAGTAAAATTGTAAACATGTTCCAGCTCTGACAAAATCCGAGTACTTGCTTTTTTTCTTAGTTTTATAATACCTTGTTTAACTTGACTTTGGGGAATTAGTGAGTGATTGAAGTAATGTGTCGCAGGAGGAATAGGGTGTGTCAGCAAACACAGAGCTGATTTGGGCTGCAAACTATTAACCACATTGGTCTGGAACTGCAATCCACAAGTATTACATGACCTCGATTGACATTATAATATTGGCTAACATTTAACATTATTTAGCACAGTTTGTTCTGTGTGTGTCATTACTGTTTCAAATAGGTGAATAGTTATGAAGACACACAGAGCGCATGTTCGCATATGTGGGGGTGTGTGTTGCTGGTAACACACACAAATTGCCCAAAGTGAGCCTAAGTAGCAGAGATCTGGATCAAACAGAAACTCTACTTTTGCTTGTTTTAACATAACCACTGCAGTGATAAAGTCGACAGTATAGATACTATAGATAGCTTCCAAAATAACTTGACAGTGGGCACAGTTTGAGTTTAGAAGGAGTTGCAGTCAGCAACCCTTGATGACAAAGTCACACTGAGGACGTCACTGTTAAAAAAATACACTGTGGTGAAATCTAAACAAAAAAACAATGTTTAGCCAAAACAGGAGGATGATTCTTCCACCAAACTCACACTCAACACTGCACTTCCACTGGTCCTCAGCAACAAATGTGAAGCAGACCAGATAAACGGATGTGGAGAAAAAACCCAACACACACACACACAGACACAGAGAGTGACTCATTCCTTTCTAGTTGGACGTTATTCACTAAGTAATTAGCAAAGACGATAATTAGTCAGTCTTACTACTATTACCTTGGCTCAGGTTTTTAGTTTGAAGCAATTTGGTAAAACACTTTTGGGATTATGAGTTAATATTTTAGCAAATATTGTAATAAAGTAGAAGAAAAGATTGAGTGGAGCCTTTTAAAAGTAGATTTGGACATGATTAGGTAATGGCAGTTGCGTGCTCCGTCCAGCTGGTAGATCCAGCTTTGCTACTACTGAGGCAGTTGCGTGTATTTGCATTTTCATTTCCATTTATTTGTTTAGAACTGTGCTGATCATTCTGACCTCTCTATGATCTTGACCATGCTTTATTTTGAAATGTTTATCTGAGCATAAGTGATTTACTGCCACTGGTACAGCAATTAAAGGCTCATTAAACAAGATTGCAGCCCACAGGTTTAAATTCATTTTTGGAAAACAATTGGCTGTTGTTGTCTATTTTTTATTGTATCTTCTTTAAGCAAATATCAGAATAATGTAGCTCAAGATTAACCAATGAGCACACTGAACAGCAAATCAGAAAGTAGCGCACCTGTTGGTTGAACCGTTGTAGCAATAGTTGGGCAAGAAGTCGTAGTTGAGCTCCCAGAAGACGTGCAGCGTTATCCTGCCATAGGGAGCCGACACGTTGTGGTTGGCCTCCCGGAACATGGCGTCCAGGCTGTCCAGAGTCAAGAACTTACTGAGGAGCTTGTGCGTCAAGCGGTTGATCTCCAGAAGACCTTCCAGTTCCTTTAACCAAGTAACACAAAGGAAAAAGGTCCACAACTGCACCCCAACACGTTTCTTACTTAGTCCAAGGACAAACCTCAGATCAACTAAACCTCCAGAAACACACACTAAAATACTGCGTAATCCATCTGTATGATCACAGATAGAAAATAAAGAATGTTATGTAAACACCCCCCATCAGCTGTCCCTAATGAAGTCTGAACTAAACTGAAATTACATACCATGATTGAGGTGAGATCCTCACTCTCAAAGCGATTGATGGCGAGCTCCAGAGACTTGTACAGAGCAGCTGAAACCCTCTGAGAGATGAGTCTGTTCAGGTCGATAGAGCGGCCTAAGAGCTGAGGTTCACGGACAGTTAGTATTGGGGGGGCACAACATGACGGCAAAATAATGAAGGCGGCAGAACAGCGAGATCAAAATCCATGATTGGTGCGGTGTATACCTGGACATGACGTTGCTTCAGCAGAGTCTCGTAGCGGTTGGAGGCAGGCCAGGGAATGTTGGCGCCTTGGTTCTTGCAGTCAGTTCTCAAACGCTTGTCAAGCAGGAGACTAAAGGATTTAAATAAACAGCAAAAGAGTCAAGGTACTTGTGCAAGTGTGAATCAAGCTTTTTAAAAACAATTTCTCCCAGACTGAAGTGTTAAACAACAGGGGGTCAGACATTTCCTTTTTAGAGCAACACAAACCAGGTACTGCTGCTGGTTCAACATGTGAACATGTCTCAGAACTGGTTGGCTTTTCCACAGACCAGAAAACCACCACTGAACCATGCTTATATTTCTGTATTCAGCGCCTATACAAAGTATTCATCCAACTTGGAAGTTTTCCTCTTTTATTACTTTTAAATATGGAATGACGGTCAATATGTCTTTTTTTTTTTATAAGAATTGACAAAAAAAGACTCTTTCTTAAGAAGTGAAAACACATTTCTACTCATATAAAATAAAAGATTGTACAAGTATTCAACCCCTTCAAGTCAGTATTTATTAAAAGCACTCATTGCTGAAACTACAGCCTGTGTGGATAGTTCTCAGTGAGCCTCGCTTATTTGGACACTGCAATTTTAGATCATTTTCTTTGCAAAACTGCTCAAGGTCTCTTGGCTTGCACAAGGACTATGAGAATAAGTCCAGCTACAAATTCTCAATTGGGATTGAGGTTTGTGCTCTGACTTAGCCACTCCAGAACATTGACCCTATTGCCTTTAAATCACTTCTGTGTAGCTTTGGCTGTGAACCTCAGGTCATTGTCTTGCTTGAAAACAAATCTTCTCTCAAAACTTTTTGGCCCTGTGCATCGGTTCAACCACTGGTTTCATTATTGAAGCTTAAATCTCTGTCGCGGATCACAGCGCAAGGAAGCAGGCTGTCTCTTGTACGGGCCACTGCTAGGAAACTGATAAGGTCACTATCTGTCTCATTTTGCCTGCTGTTGTTAATGATGTTTGAATATCACCAGTCTGTGTTTGTTAATGCCACCACAAACAGCAGTCGGCATTTGTGAACGCCGCTCTGTGCCGCCATTTGCAGCGGTGTTGATATTTATTACAGCAATTATGAATGCCAGGTCTAGATATTAAAACATTAAACAGCAGGGAAAATTAGACAAATACATACATCATTAGAATTCCACTCACAGGTGTGCTGACTTCAAGTCCACACTCTCTTTAGTGGAAACGGGACATCAGGTGAACTCACTTACTGGTCTCAATGAAGTGGTATTTAGGTTGTCATATTAAAGAGCCCATATAATGCCCATTTCACAGGTTTACAATTTTATTTTTGGGGTCTGCTAGAATATGTTTACGTGCTTTAAAGCTCAAAAAACTTTCTATACTGTACATTGCTGCAGCATCTCTTCTCAACTTCTGTCTGACATCCTCTGTCTAAGATCCTGCTGACTAGTTTTCATTTTCAGACAGTACAATTATTAACCAGTTAAGTTCCATTTGATGGGATAATTCTACTTAAAACCAAATATATTGATGTCAACATTTTCAAACCAATTTAGCTACTCTGTTACTCTAGTGTAAAGTACTCCTGTTTGAGAATCACTGTTTCACAACCCAGATAAACCTACTAAGTCATTACTTATGGAATAACAATAAAAAAGGAAAAAAGAAGTAACCTACCTTCCAGCTAGGATCTTGTAGTAGGCAAATATCTGATCAGCCAGCTTGTAGACAAACTGATCAAAGCACAGATTGACCTGGAATAACAACAAAGGTTCAAATTAACATGCATATTTGCAAATACAGTTGAATTTGTGACAGACAAAATACCATAAAACACTTTTTTTTTTTACACAGTTTTGCAATGTTGTGTTTGCAGAAATAATTTGAAATCATGTAGCATGATGTCACCAGGTAACAGGGTGAACTTTACACAGATTTGACTAGTGTTGGCTTAGTGAGGAAAACACAGTAATTTAACTGGCAGAAAAAAAGATGTCACCTCACATATTGTTTTAAAATCGTACATATATTTGTTCAACAAAGCTTTCTTTAGCTACGTTATTTGTATTTATGTAACCTGTTTCATAATGACCGGAAATACAGCGACTCAAAATCTCATATGATGGACAGGCAACTCAGATTAATGAGGAAATAAGATAAACAGTATTTGTTAGAGCAACATGGCAACGAGTATATTTAGAAAAGTGGAATTGTGCAGTG